TTCATTTTCTTATCAATTACCCAGTTTCAGGTATTCTGTTAGAAGCAACAGAAATGGATTAATATAGAAGGAAAAGAGATGTGTTGACAATAACCATAAGAAAGCTGGACAAACTATATATTAGACAAAATACATAGTAAAACAATGTTATCAGAGATAAAACAATGTTTTATAATGACAAAATGGTCAATCCATCAGGAAGACATGACAATTATAAACCAATATGCACCTAAAAACAGAGCTTGAAAACATATGAAGCAAAACCTGACCAAATAAAGAGAAAAATAGACAACCACCTAGACAGAACAGGTATCTATAGAACACTCCACCCAACAACAGCAGAATATACCTTTTTTCCAAGTTCACATGGAACATTCTCCAGGATAGACCATATGCTGGGTAATAAAAAAATCATCAATTAGTTCGAAAGGACTGAAGTCATACAAGGTACTTTTTCTGATCACAATGGAATTAGAAAGCAAAATCAGTGAAATTTGTGAAATTCACAAATATGTGGAAATTAAGCAGCTCATTACTAAATGACCAATGGGTCAAAGGATAAATTACCAGGGTAATTAGAAAACATGTTGAGATGAATAAAAGTGAAGAGACAACATGCTAAAACTCATAGGATTCAGCTAATGCTGTATGCAGAGAGCATTTTTAAAAATGCCAACATTTTAAAAAAGAAAAGATCTCAAATCAATGACTTAACCTTCCATCTTAAGTCACTGGAAAAAGAGGGCAAACTAAACCCAAAGCAAGAAAAAGGAAGGAAGTAATAAAGATTACACTGCAATGAATGAAATAGACAATAGAAAAATAATACAGAAAAATGTCAACACCAAAAGTTTGTTCTTTGAAAAGACCCACAAAATCGATAAACCTTTAGCTAAACTGACAAAGCAAAAAAGAGTGAAGACTGAAATTACTAAAATCAGAAATGAAGAGACATTACTACCAACTATACAGAAATGAAAGAATTATAAGCAAATAATATGAACAACTGTATGCCAACAAATTAGATAACTTAGGTGAAATAGACACATTCCTAGAAAGATACAAACTACTGAAATTGTTTCAAGAGGAAATAGAAAATGTGAATAGACCTATAACATGTAAAGAGATAGAATTAGTTAGTAATCAAAAAACTTTCAACAAAGAAAATCCCAGGCACATATGGTTTCATTGGTGAATTCTACCAAACATTTAAAGAATACCAATTCTTTACAAACTCTTCCAAGAAATAGTAGAGGAGGGAACCCATCCCAATTCACTCTATGAAGCCATGTTACCTTGGTAACAAAACCAAACATTACAAGAAAACTACAAACCAATTCTCTTATGAATACAGATGGAGAAATCCTCAACCAAATACTAGCCAATTGAATCCAGCAATATGTAAAAAATATATAAAATATATACACACTATGGCCAAGAGGGATTTATCACAGTAATGTAATATACCACATCAATAGAATAAAGGATAAATACCACATGATCATCTCAGTAGACACAGAAAAAAATCATTTTATAAAATTCAACACCCCTTCATGATGAAAACACTCAATATGCTAGGAATAGGAAGTAACCTCCTAAACTGGCAAAGGCCTCCATGAAAACCCCCCAGTTAACGTCATACATAATGGTGAAAAATTGGATGCTTTCCCCCTGAGATCAGGAACAAGGGAAAACCATCCATGTTCACGACCTCTATTCAGTTTTGTACTGAAGGTTATAGCCAGGATACTTAGGCAAGAAAAAGAAACAAAAGGCATCCAGATTGGAAAGGAAGAAGTCAAACTATCTTTGTTGACAGAAGACATGATCTTATATGTAGAAAATCCTAAGGAATCCACTAAGAAACTTTTAGAACTAATAAAAAAATGTTCAGCAAGGTTGCTGGATACAAGATCAATATACAAAAACCATTGTATCTATATAGAGTAGCAGTGAGCAAACCAACATATAACTAAGAAAACACTTTCATATAATAGCACCAAAACAAATGAAATAATTAGGAATAAATTTAACAAAAGGTGCAGAACTTATATTCTGAAAACTGTAAAAATGTTCCTTTTTTTTTCCTTTTCTTTTGGCAGCTGGCTGGTAAGGGAGTCCAAATCCATGACCTTTGTGTTAAGGCTGCACTTTAACTAACTGAGCTAATGGTCCAGCCTATAAAAACATTCTTGAAAAATGTTAAAGACCTGACTAAATGGGCCATATTCACAGATCAGAAGAATTAATATTGTTAAGATGGCAGTACTACCAAATTCATCTACAAATTCAGTGCATCCTTTATCAGAATTCCGGCTGACTTGTTTGCAGAAATTGAAAAACTGATTCTAAAATTCATAGTGATATTTATGAATATCAGAATAGCTAAAAAAATTTGAAAAATAAAAACAAAGTTGGAGGACTCCCATTTCCTGATTTCAAAATTTACTACAAAACTTTAGTAATCAAAACAGTGTGATACTGGGATAAGGATAGACATGTAAATCAATAGAATATAATTGAGATTCCAGATATAAACCCTCACATTTATAGTCAATTGATTTTTGTCAGGGGTGCCAAGACAATTCAGGAGAAAGAAGAATTTTCAACAAATGGTGCTGAGCCAACTTGATATACATATGCAAATGAATGAAGCTGTACTCCTACCTCATGCCGTGTACAAAAGTTAACTAGAAATTGATCAAAGACCTAAATATAAGAGCTAAAAGTAGGGCCGGCCCCGTGGCTCACTCGGGAGAGTGCGGTGCTGACAACACCAAGGCCACGAGTTCGGATCCTATATAGGGATGGCCGGTTTGCTCACTGGGTGAGCGTGGTGCTGACAACACCAAGTCAAGGGTTAAGATCCCCTTACTGGTCATCTTTTTAAAAAAAAAAAAAAAAAGAGCTAAAAGTATAAAACTCTTTGAAGAAAATATAGGTGTAAATTTTTGTGACCTTGGACTAGGGAATGGTTTTTTAGATATGACATGTAAGCACAAGCAGTAACAGTCAATAACAAAAAGATTAATTGGGCATCATCAAAATCTAAAACTTCTGAGCTTCAAAGGATACCATCAAGAAAGTGAGAAGACAACTCATAGAATGGGAGAAAAAATTCCAAATTATACATCTGATAAGGGTCTTGTATGAGGGTACTTCAAAAAGTTTATGGAAAGATTTGTACTGTCTTTCAATTGTATTTTCCATGAACTTCATATTTAGAATATATAAAAACTCTTACTACTCATCAATAAAAAGATAAGTAACCCAATTAAAAATGGGTACTGCTCTCTGGTATTTTACAATGGAGTAAGAGGTGACTTGGCCTCCTGGTCCAGGCTTACTCCCGCCTCTCTGGTTTTGTGCATGGTGGCCCCTGCCCATTGGCATAGCCTGCCTATCATCCACCTCTTGCTTTGTGAGCTTCCTACTTCTCTAGTTTCCACTTCTCTTCACAACTTCGTGGAGCCTCTCAATTTAACATCCACTCATGTACTCATATCTTTTGTTGGTTCTTTCAATGATGTTTTGTATTTCCACAACTACACTGCAAAGGGCTCCTTGAAGACAAGGCTGTTTAGGGACAGGGACATAATGTAGTATGGTGGGAAGATGGTAGTTTTGGCCTTCTGTGTGTGTCATCGCTGTGGTTTATCTGTTGGCTTTGTGGCTTAGGTTCAATGCTGATACTTGCTGAGGCTGTTTCTTCATCTGTAAAATGAAGATTCAAGGAAATGGTCCAGTACATACCTGGGCCTGGAGTGCCCTCCTTCTGGATGTTCATGTTTCCCAAGTGTCTTTCGCATAAACACCAGTAAAATGAGAATGTCCAGTATCGTGACTTACTGAAAGCCCAGGTTTTCCAGTTCAGATTGTTTACTGATGTTATATAGGGAAATGAGAGAAGAAACACATTACACACCTAAACATTATAGATGCTTTATAAAGAGTACTTTTTTTTGCATTAAAATAGCAATGTGACTGTATTTTTTCTGTTTGTGCACTTGTTACTTGATTTTAACTTCAGTGTCTTTATCATATATTAATTGTAATTATTTTGACAATTTTTGTACCCTTTTTTCCCACTTGGCCTAGTTTTTTTTTTTTTTTTTTTTTCCTTTTTGTCTTTTTTCGTGACCGGTAATGGGATCGCAACCGGTAACGGGATCGCAACCCTCGGTGTCGCGCCCGCACCGCGCTCAACCAGTGAGCAGACCGGTCTCTATATGAGATCTCAACCCTCGTCGGGAGCGCCGCCGCACTCCCAAGCACTGCACTCTACCAAGTGCGCCACCGGGCCAGCCCTTGGCCTAGGTTTTTTGATTGTTTGCTTTTTTTTTTTTTTTTTTTGGTCAATCATAAAACTGCTTTTCCTACTTTGGTATATTTCATACCTTCCAAAATACTAACAAGACTGTCATTTACTATATAGTGGTTATCATGGAATTGGTATGAAAATTCTATTTGTATTTAAATAACAATTTTAATAAATTTCTAATTTTTTCTTTTCCTTTTTTCTTTTTGGCAGCTGGCTGGTACAGGGATTAAACCCTGGACCTTGGTGTTATCAGCATCACGCTCTAACCAACTGAGCTAACTAGCCAGCCCCCTAATTTTTTCTATTCTTAAAAAGTAAATTAAGAATAAAATATGGCTATAAAGAAAATGTGGTTTTTCGGGGCCGGCCCGGTGGCGCACTGGATAGTGCGCCGCTTGGGAAGCGCGGTGGCGCTCCCGCCCGAGGGTTCGGATCCCATATACAGACCGGTTCCCGCTCACTGGCTGAGCGAGGCGCGGGAGCAACACCAAGGGTTGCAATCCCGTTGCCGGTCCCCGGTCCGGTACAGGGGCAACACTGAGGGTTGCGATCCGTTGCCAGACACAGAAAAAGACAAAAAAAAAGAAAATGTGGTTTTTCTAGACAAGCTATCTGTAATTAGTAGGAATAGATCGAATGGTTTGATTTAAATTTTAATGATTCCTCTCTTTTATTGAAGGTCCATTTTAGCTTCTTATCTTCTGAAGGAGAAGCTCAACATCTTGGGCAAGTTGGGATGTCTGCTGAGCTGCGCAGGCTCTGTCGTGCTCATCATCCACTCCCCGAAGTCCGAGAGTGTGACCACACAGGCCGAGCTGGAGGAGAAACTGACCAATCCAGGTGACTCCTCTCTAGCACACTGGCAGGAGAGCTTGCCTGGGGGTCTTGACTTCTGTGGCTCTCAATTAGCAGTGGTGGACATAGCAACAGAAACAGCTGTGAAACTTGAAAAGAGACTCATAGTAAATTTAGCCAAGACTATATTTCCCTGTAGTGTTTTATCCCTAAGTACTTAGCATTGTGATATTCATATTCTCCCATGAAAGTCAACGTATTTCCAATACTGTGAGAAATGAAAGTACAGTGTTATAACACCAAGGTCAAAGGTTCAGATCCCCTTACCAGCCAATTGTGTGTCCCCCCCACCCCTGCCCCCAAACAAAAAAAGTACAAAGACATGAGAAAAAGACCAGAACTCGACAATAGTGTCCTGAAGAATTTACTTTACATAATTTCCAGAAGAATATACCCAAAGGCTTATTACGTTTTGGTAAATGTGATGTTACCAATATATTCAGGTTCTGACTTACTTGTGCAAAGAAATATCCAATTTGAATATCACCATAAAAATTTGGTTTAAAGATATAATGGTAGCAAAAAGCTTTTTCTTTTTAACATGAAAACCTTTTTTTCTAAAAACCTGGAATATAAAATGTTATTATTCTAGCCACTTAATTTATTAGATTAAATGTTTCCTAATTAAAAAAAAAAGTTTTCTTTCTAAAGGTAAAAACAACAGAATAAAGTTTTGTCAGATACTTGCCTCAGAAGAAATTTCAATCAGCACTTGTTTATATTTCTGAAACCCTTGGCATGTGATATGTGATCTCTGGTATTCAGAGTAAACGTGGAAGTTTCTCTAAAAAGAGAATCACATAAAAGAGCATCACGTGTGCTCGGTGATGCTGCCACCCCCAGAGAGTGATAGCTAGTCCTTCAGGGCAAAAAAATATTGTATTCTTTTAATGTGTAAATCATGGATATATATCCAATACATAAATACATAAATAGATGTGATATTAAAATTTCATGGGAGTGATTAGGAGAGAGAAGTGCAGGATGGTTCTTTAGGAGGGAGGATGATGAAAAAGCTGTTGAGAAATGGTGATATAAAGTAAGAGTCACAAAGCTGAGGGGCATCTGGCTGCCTGCTCTATAGATAAAGAATAAAAAATTGAGGTTGAACGCAGGAAAATAGAGATTTTCTCGGACATGGGTTTTTCTTTCCAAGCTGCTCAGTTCTCCTGTTGCTGCTGGGGTTCTTTGTCCACGTGCCCCTCTGGCTGGTGTGCCCAATCTGCCCCCGTCTGCCTGCTTGGCTGCTGCCCACCTTTTCCTCCTGCTCCTCTGCACTCACTGCCTGCCTTTGGGCACGAGCTCTCATATCCCTCTTTCCCCCTGCCACTGCCTTCCCTAGCCATTGTGCTGCCTGGGACCCTTCTGAAATGTAATTCCATTATGTCCCTTCCTGGCTTCAAAGCCCTTTGCAACCCCCCTTCCCAAATTGCTCCATACTCGGGACCTGCTCCTTCTCCTGATGCTACGCCTGCACACTTGCATTCAAGCTGCTTCTTATCATCTGCCGATCCCCCATCATGCCCCAGTTTGGTAGTATTTTGTGTTTGCATGTGCCAATCTCTCTGCCCTTCATTGCGCCTCCACAGCTTGTAGGTCAAGCTCCCAGGCAGCTTTCAACTGTCCTCCCAGTGTCCCTTCCCTATGGAGTCTTCCTAAACCCTTCTCCAGAGCAGGACCCTATAGTTCCTTTTTCTTACCTTTGGGAGCAGGGGTCCTACTACCTGCTTGCTGTTCTGCACGCCCACACTTGCTTTTGCTGGTGTGCATGTCCACACTTGCTGATGTGTGTGTCCACACTTGCTGGTTTGCATGTCCACACTTACTGGTTTGCTTATACACACCTGCTGGTTTGCGTGTCCACACTTGCTGGTTTGCTTATCCACACCTGCTGGTTTATGTGTCCACATTTGCTGTTTTGTGCGTCCACACTTACTGGTCTGCATATCCATACTTGTTGTTCTGTGCGTCCACGCTTGCTTTTGCCAGTTTGTGTGTCCACACTTGCTGGTTTACATGTCCACACTGTTGGTTTGTGTATCCGTACTTGCTGGCTCGCATGTCCACACTTTCTGGTTTGCTTGTCCACACCCACTGTTCTTCGTGTCCACACTTGCTATTTTGTGTGTCCACGCTTGCTGGTTGGCATGTCCAGGCAGTTTCCAGCCTTGTTAGGTCCAGTGCCCTCTTTACAAACTGGAAATGAAATTCATGTAAAATATAACCTCCTCGTGCACATAATTTCAAAGCCATCAATATAAAGGAGAAATAGCAAGATAGTACTTTATAATATGTAAATGCTCAGGTACAACTACAGGAGAAGGCAGATTGAAGCCACAGACCCTGCACCATGCATGGAGTTACTGAGAATCTGGCAGCTGCAGGTAGATGCTGATGTGAGCGGTTGTGTTATTGACTCACACAATCGGGGGGTCTTGCCATCAGCAATATGATGAAGTTCTGATCAAAGAAAGAAAAATCCTCCCTCATTTTATGTGAAAGTTGCTTTTCTGAAAAATCTAGTGTATATTAAGTCCATGCAAATGTTACTTTGTTGTATATATCAAATAGGTTTTAGGCTCTGATTATAATAAACATATTTTTCATCTAAAAGTCCAAGGAGACATTCAGAAATTGTGAGGAAAATGGGATAATTTTTGGTCATATGGGGCTGTCTGCACATTCCTCTACCCACCACATTCAGCCCCCAATTATTATCATTGCAACAGCCACACATTGCCCACAGCTTTCCCGATTTTCCTTAAGATTCCCCCACCCCATGCCCGCAGCACTGTCGTCTGTGATAGGCATTCAGTAAGGCTTTGCTGAGTGGACTCTAAAGTAAGAAAAACCCATTTGTGAATGGCTTTTTAAAAAAAAAACCAAAGCATCCACAAATGACTTTTATTGTTACAACAATGGTACTAATATGGGACCAAGTAAACATTTAGGAGCTATGAATGTTTTAGTGGTGAAAATAATGATGGGGAGGGCCGGCCCGTGGCTCACTCGGTAGAGTGCGGTGCTGATAACACCAAGGCCCCGGGTTCGGATCCCATATAGGGATGGCCGGTTCGCTCACTGGCTGAGCGTGGTGCTGACAACACCAAGTCAAGGGTTAAGATCCCCTAACCGGTCATCTTTAGAAAAAAAAAAAAAAATAATAATGATGGGGATAACTTTTGTGGAATGAAGTCAGTGGATCTGGTAAACTGAAGCCAGAGCACTGAGATGCCTGCCTGCCCCCCAGCGCCATCCCCACAACAGAGGTGGAACATGGGTGGGGGTGCAGGCGCTGACTGGGTGACGCCGGCCCCATGCCACCTGTTTTCCAGTGTTTGTGGGCTACCTGTGTATCGTGCTGCTCATGCTGCTGCTGCTGATATTCTGGATTGCTCCGGCCCACGGGCCCACCAACATCATGGTCTACATCAGCATCTGCTCCTTGCTGGGGAGCCTCACCGTGCCTTCCACCAAGGGCATCGGGCTGGCAGCCCAAGACATCGTGCATAACAACCCATCTAGCCAGCGAGCCCTGTGCCTGTGCCTGGTGCTGCTGGCCGTGCTGGGCTGTAGCATCATCGTCCAGTTCAGGTACATCAACAAGGCGCTGGAGTGCTTCGACTCCTCGGTGTTTGGGGCCATCTACTATGTCGTGTTCACCACACTGGTCCTGCTGGCCTCTGCCATCCTCTTCCGCGAGTGGAGCAATGTGGGCTTGGTGGACTTCCTGGGAATGGCCTGCGGATTCACCACTGTCTCCGTGGGGATCGTCCTCATACAGGTGTTCAAAGAGTTCAATTTCAACCTTGGGGAGATGAACAAATCTAACGTGAAAACAGACTAGGATGTAGCTGGGGCTTGAGTGGCTCAAGCAGCAGACACAGGAGCTGGTTTTTGGTCCTGACTGCATGTAAAGTGGGAGAGACCTTTGATAACTGGTGGTAGAGTTGCCTGTGTACTAAGGGGTGGTCTTGAGATGGTGGGGGATACAGCTCAGGACCAGAGTGGGGGCCCAGCTCTCTGCAGCCCCAAATTGCCCAGTAATTGCCTGAATGTCATCTCTCTCTAAGGAGATGAATCTAATATTCATTTCCATTTCCCTGGAAGCTTTCATGAATACTTTTTCCTTTAAAAACATTTTAACATTATTTAAACAGAAAATAAAGGTGGGCTCTTTGTTGTTAGTCTTTGCAGGAGAGCAGATATTCTTACTTAGAATATTACTTTGGAAGTAGGAAAAATCATTGTCTTGAAATCTGGCTCTGTGCAGTAAACACGTCTGTAGTTCTGTTAGTTTGTGTAAAGCATGTATACATTCAGGTATGCCATCAAAATAAGAGGTATATAAATTGAATTGTTTTTAATCCACTAACAAGTTGACTCCCCCTGCCCATCCTAAGAAGTTTTAATAGCAAATAGAGGAGTTTATGAACATGATGCAGGGTTCCATTGGCAGAATGACTTTTCAGTAGCTCAAATCAATTTCAGTGCCTTTATCACTTGAATTATTCACTTAATTTGACTATTACTGTGTGTATGTTCTCTTAGGTTAGAATAATGCAACTTCCTTGACTACAGTTTAATATTTCAATATTTAAACTATAAATGTGTAAAGCAGTTAGAAATAATAGTATATCCTTTGGAAGATAGGACTAAACATACATTAGAGCAAATTGATCCGTGTAGCATGTAGTTACTGTACAGTTCAAGATAATTGATCTAATTAGCATGAGGTATTTTATTTATGTTCATTCTGTGTAACTGGGATCCAGTATCAAATATATCCACATTCTCTTTCAGCAAGCATTTATGACCATTCAGAAGAAATAAATTATTTAACTTGATAATGAAGGTGTTAAATGAGAGAGTAACTATTTAGTAGGACATATATGAAGGTACTTCAAGAAGTTCATGGAAAAACAGAATTAGAAAGAAAGAAGGAAAGAAAGACCACAGTAGTGCATTGGACTTCCAGAGGGAAAGAACATTCCTGGGACTACAAAATGGAGTGGGGGCGAAAGGGGGAGGGAGAAGGAGGTTGGGGATAATTGGGTGGGGGATATGTGGTACAAATGCAATTTGTGGTGATGGGTATGCTGCCAGTATGAATCTGGCCCTCACATCATGAGCACGAGGGGAGACAATCAGCTTTGTATCTCATGAATATTCATAACCAATAAAAAAATAGAATTCAAAGATAATATGAATCTTTCCATGAACTTTTTGAAAGATGAGATTTAGTAAAATATGTGAAATAGAACATGAAATTTAATAATACCCAATTAAAATTACTCACTAAGAAAAAAATGGGGCCGGCCTGTGGCTCACTCGGGAGAGTGCGGTGCTGATAACACCAAGGCCACGGGTTCGGATCCCATAGAGGGATGGCCGGTTGGCTCACTGGGTGAGCGTGGTGCTGACAACACCAAGTCAAAGATTGAGATCCCCTTACCGGTCATCTTTAAAAAAAAAGAAAAAGAAAAAAATGTTTTTGCAGGCAAAAAGAACATTTCTAAAGTAAAGACCCAAGGAATAGTTCCCTAAATGTTGAACAAAGATGCTAAATAAAGCGAGACTAGTTTTACATGGAGCTGAAAATACCTTTACGAGTTAAAAGTACATGTGATGATCAAGCGTTGTCAGTGATTTGTAAACTAAGAGCAGCAACAAAATTATTAAGAATTTAAAAAAATGTTTTATCGACTGACAGTTAACAAATGCTTAAAAAGTTCATTACTCTTTTCATCAGCTCTTGAAGATTTGATTTTTATCATCAGCATTTTTAGGAATATAGGCCTTAATTTATTGAACTGAACTTTCTGAAAATGTAATGTAGTAGTATCAATACACTTTTAGGCATAAAAATAGGTTCCTAGGTCAGGAGTTTGAGATATTCAAAGAAAACGTGGCTATACAAGCATAATGACAAGATTTACACGTCATATGGAAATTATCATGATTATTTTGCTACAGTTTACGTGTGAAGCTTAGTTTAAATGCATCTATTGGTGTACCTTATATTTTAATCCACAATTATACCATGGATACTTAGAGGTGATGTTTTCTTGATGATCTTTCCTATGATTTTTCTGGAGTAAAACAAAATCTCCAAGTATTAATAGCTTTTCTCTTGAAGGTAATGGTCCTCAAACAGTTAGGATCTCCCAGTTTTACATGTGTTCAGCATTACTTTGGTAGCATTCACAGCTTTTCTTCCAGTGGAACAAAGTTCATATTATCCATTATTTTTCAAGTGTATGACACTAGCCTCAAAGTAAAATGACATGACCAGTGGAGCAACAGTTTAATTTTCGAGTTTAACATAGAGCATATAACCACTGATTTAATAGTATTTATTTTACAAATTTATGTTTTTATAATTCATTTGGAAATGCAAAGAAAAAAAGCCCTGAAGCGAGAGATTTGGGGGAGGGCCTAGAATGGGGTCTCTTATTGGTCTTTCTAAAAGTAAACGCATGTGAAACAATTTCATTATTTTACTATTCTTTGGGTTTTGTCTCTGATATAACTAAGAAAAGAATGCCTACCGTATAGTTGTTTTCAAGCCCTCTCTAAAATCAAAGGTTTGGGATCATAATTTGCAGGTTTGCTCTTGATAGAGACTGAAATAGGCTGCTTCTCTCCTCTTCTACTTGGACAATGCCTTGTTTTCTCATCCAGATCTTCTTGTTTGTGAGGATTGGTTCCTGTTCTGCTCACTGATCAAGTCTAGGGCCAATTACAGATTTTAACCCAAACCCTGCACCAGGAGATCACCATGGAGCATTCTTCTGGTCTGCAAAGCCCTCCATCTCTGTGGAGAAGGTTCTGGAGCAGGAGGGCCATCTGCTCCCTGGCATACATGGAGTGCAGTCCTGACCGTTGTGGGACTGTTGCGAAGGAATTGAGGCCTTGTGGCCTTGCTCATCACGGAGACTGTCATTACAGTCCTTTCCTATTAGAGCGTTAGTGAAATACGAATGTACTTCAAAAAGTTCATGAAAAGATTTGTTTAATTTTTTTATTTATTTTTTTAACAGATTAGATATTTATTTCTCATATGAAGTACAAAGGAGGGTTTTGGGATAGAGGAGGGAAGATCTCTGCCCTCTCCAATCAATTCCTTTTGTCTTAAATCACAGTGACCTTCTCCCACCTATGGCTCCCAAGGCCACCCTAGGGTGCCATCTTCACTTTGATCCCAGAGGGCATGAGAAGTCAGGGAGAACTACATGGACACTTTTTTGTTGCCAGGCCTGGAATAATGTTCTTCACTTATGTTCATGTTTCCCTGATCAAAGCTCAGTTATGTGGTCCCACACAGTAATGGGAGGCTGAGAATGCAGGCTCACTGTGTGTGCAAGAGAAAAGAGAGAGCTTTTTGCTGAATCCATAGCCAGTGTCTGCCATACAGGATTCTCTCGTGTGAGTTCTCTGATGCGTGCTGTAGTGTAACTTCTGACAAGTTCCATGTTCATTACTGTATTAGTGCATTTTTTTGTGTGTTGCTATAACAGAAATACCAAAAACTGGATGATTCATAAAGAAAAACAACACTTATTGCTTACAGTTTCTGAGGCTGGAAAGTCCAAGGTCCATCTGGTGGTGGCAACAGTGACCCAGGGGTCTCACATTGCAAGATGGTGGAAGCAGAGAGAACAGAGCAGAGAGAAAGACAGACTCTCCTCTTTTACAGCCCTCAGAACCACGCCCCTGACCACCATTTTTAATCCATTTACTATGGCATGGTCCTACAATCCAGTCACCTCTTCAAGGCTCCACCTTCCAGTTACCATACTGGGATTTCTCACCCCCTTAACAGTCACAGTGGGGGCTAAATTTCTAATACATAAAACTTAGGGGACACAATTCAAGCTTCAGTGAGTTTGGGGGGGGGGACATTATTCAATCCAATACAATTATAGTCAGCATTCCATATCCACGGGTTCTACATCTGTGATTCAACCAACTGCGGATGAAAGATAATTGAAAAAAGTAAAAAAGTAAAAAATAATAATACAGCAATAGAATAATACAAATAAAAAACAACAGTAACAACTATTTACATAGTATTTACACTGTATTCAGTATTATAAGTAATCTAGACATGATGTGAAGTATAAGGCAAGATGTGCATAGGTTATATGCAAATACTACATCATTTTATATAGGGGACTTGAGCATCTGGATTTTGGCATCTGTGGGGGTACTGGAGCCAATCCCCTGAGGATACCAAGGGAAGACTGTACATTCATCGGGTTTCTCTTTTGTGTGATTTCTCTGATGCCTGCTGAGGCTTGACTTCTGGTGAAAGGTTTTTCCACACTCATTACATCCATAGGACCTTTCCCCCAAATGAATTCTCTGATCCATATAGTAAGGTCTGAATTCTGAAAGGATTTCTCACATTGGTACATCCATAAAGCTTCTCCCTGTATGTCTTCTCAGGCATATTATAAGGGATGATTTTTTAATGAGGGATTTCTTATGTTCACTACATTTATAGGGTTTCTCTATTGTATGTATTTTCTGATGTTTCATGAGTTTAGACTTTTTATAGAACATCTTCCCACATACATCACATTGAAAAGTTTTCCTCTCTACCTGAGTTATCTTTTAGGCAGTGTGAATTGACTTACCACAGTCTTTCCCATGTGCACTGCATGTACAGGCATTCTTTCTCATATGCACCCTCTTATGTGTAAATAATACTGTCTCCTTGTTGGAGACTTCCTCATGTCCACTATTTTCAGAAGGCTGCTGCCCACTTTGAATCTTGGGATGCTGACTCATGATGTCTCTGCAATTCCTGTTATATTATGGTTGTCAGGTTCTATCCAGCATGTGTCTCAGTCTCTCTGGAAGAAGTGTGTTCTTGTAGGCTCTGGATTGGGAGTTCTTCTTCCATCCATAGCTCTGCTCCTTGCTCCAACTTGGAGATCACCTCAGGTTTGGCAATGCAGTGCCCCAGTGATACCAGGCTGCTGTGGTCTCCAGCATCATGTCCCCGTACAGGGTCCTTTGAACATCATCCAAGTCCTCACACTCCTCCCAGGTGAAGTCCATAGGCATGTCCTCAACTGACACCAACCCTGGAGATTTTTTCTTGCTCTTGGAAACACATAGAGCATTTTGACAGTGTTGGAGGGACAGAATTCAACCCCAGAGCCTGTGGACCAGTGTGGGGCAGCTACAGTATAATACCGTCTTTTAATTTTATTTTTCCATGAACTTTTTGAAGTACACTTGTATACTTAGCTGCTCTTTTTTCAGCAATAAGAAATATTCTTTCAGTTCCTATTTTTCAAGCCAATTTGTTACACTCAGTTTTACTTCCAGAAGCTTATCCCAGCAGTTGTGTGTTGGTCTCTCTTCTTCTATGAGTTTCATATCTGTTTTTTGATAGGAGAGAGCACTACAAGGGCACTTTAAAAAGTTCATGGACAGATTCATATTATCTTTTAATTCTATTTTTCCATGAACTGTTTGAAGTACCCTCTCATATTTAAATGTGCAGTAGTCTGTCATGCTCCTCCTTAGATAGCTCAGCTCTTTGCAAATACTGTGCTGGACTTCTGAGGCCAGCTCCTAGACTTCTGTAAAGCACTGGAGATGCAGTGTCTCTTGGGTATGGATAAAGGCTCAGTCCTTGGAAACAGGCTGCTGCTGTGCTATGTAATTCTTGTTGGGAGATGACACCTCTCTTTCCTAGCTGCTCAGCTAGTCTAGAAGAGTGGAGAGAGTGCTCTGCTGGCTCACAGAGCTGCTCATCGCTCTTCCCTGGTGCCTGCTCCGTCCTGACTCAGGCTTCCTGTGACTGAGTGGGAAACTAGGCAGGGAGCAT